GAGGAGGTGCTGATGTCCAGCTGGGTCAAATCAGCCTGCAGGTTCTGTTGCTGTATGGAGTAAAGGGAGCAGCTTTGGGACCCTGATGATCTGACCCTGATCTGGAGGTTCTGAGGGTTCCAGACCCGTTTCCTCTTCGCTCTCTGCCGTGTTCTGATTGGGGTGTGATGTCATCCTTTGAGGTTCTGTCTGTTCTGGGTTCCTTTCCTAGGAAGTAACCTGGTCCTTCTATCACCTCCTGGTCCCCCTAACCCTCTGACCCAGACCAGTCCGGGCCCCTGAGTCGGGCCCCCTGATTCTGACCCGGTCCCTCTGACCCAGACCAGTCCCTGGTATCAGGGCGGTCCGGGCCCCTGAGTCGGGCCCCCTGACTCTAACCCGGACCAGTCCCTAGTATCAGGGGGGTCCGGGCCCCTAAGTCGGTCCCTCTGATCCGGTCCAGTCCCTAGTATCAGGGCGGTCCGGGCCCCCTGACTCTGACCCGGTCCCTCTGACCCGGTCCCTGGTATCAGGGCGGTCCGGGCCCCTTGTTGGGTCTGGTGTGGTTCTTGGGCAGCAGAGGACTGATGGGCTCTCATCCAATCAGGACGTGTCGCTGACCCGTGTGACCCGGCCTGGGATGGCGGCGCCGCAGCAGCTGTCGGCTCTCATGAAGGGATGATCTGCTGATCTGGAGGCTCCTCATCATCAGGGCTGCTTAGATTAGATTAGATTAGATTAGGATCCTCACAGGGAGCCTCACTTTCACAGCAATCAGCTCGTCTGAAGCAGAACTTTCATTTGGACCGGTTCACTGTTAGCAGAGCAACGTTCCTCCAGCAGGAGGAAGTTAATAAAAAACGGCTTTCATGTGTTTATTTGACTAAAGATAAGGAGCAGAAATGTAACATAAACCAAACTAATCAACAGACCAGTGGCTGCAGCTGGAAGGAGGAAATCAACTCAGATTAAATGAACCAGAATGATTGAAAACTCCTTATAAGGAGCTAATCTGGTTCAGAGATTAACGAGGATTCATCTGAAGATGTTTCTAGAACTGATTGACCTTTAGCTTAGATCTGCAGATAGTTAATTATAAACAGGCCAGCTGGCAGCATGGGCCCATCAATTCATACTTTCTATGGAGTAAACGTATATTTATTTATTTATTTATAAATATATAATCAGAGGACTCAGGCTTTTATGAAGCTTCACATTAGAATCTGATGCAAACTAAAACTCAGGTTCAGTTTAGGAATTTATAGAAAAACAAAGATAGATGTGATCAGGAGCTGGAAACAGATGAGCTGAATACTTCCTGACGTAGTGACCATCTGATGACATCACTGACCATCATTAATCCTCCACCTGCTCTGCTAACTCCGCTTCCAGCGATCACTTCACAGGTTCTGCTACTGGTTCCAGAACCGGATCAGTCCCCTTTTCCCTCTACAACTACACAATAAAACATGTCTCTGCCTGCTGTTGCCATGGTGACATGGACATCTTCAGGTTCTGCTGAACTGGGCTGGGTACCATGGAAACCCAGGATGCTTGTTTGGGTCTCCAGGTTTCCCAGCAACCTTTACTGAACCCAGAATGTGAGATCAGAACATCGATCTCTTTTGACTGGATCGCTGAGTGCCTGAAAGAAGTGAAGCCACCGTCCGCCATCTTGGTACTCCCCACTCCCACGCAGTCAAAATGCCTCCCTGTGCAGCATTTGGCTTCATTAACCAGCAGTTTTCTGGCTGCAGGAAGACGATCCATAGAGATGTAATCACCGTAATGTCATCAATCCAGGTCTTTTACATAAATATCAATTTATCACTTTTGGCTCATCTGTATTATTCTGCTCCATTAACACATTAATTTTATTGTGATGGATTTATATGTTATATGATTTATAGACTTCATAATGACTCTGCAATGTGAAGGGCCTATTTTTATTTTTACGGTGAGCAGGGATCAGTGGATCAGAACCAGAACATTGATGCCTGCAGCTGCATGAGGAGCTGCAGGTCCTCATGCCTCCAGCAGGTGGCAGCAAACCTCCATCCTGTTCTGCAGGTCCAACAGAACAGAGGCGTTTTTAGACCATTTTAGGGGGGCTGAGGCACCCTTAAATTACACAGCACCCCTAAAATATGGCTTGTTTTTTCTTATATTGTATACGCTTTCTAAATTGAAAAAAGTAAAACAAAAACATACATAATATAGAACAGACTAAAAACTATGCAATACTTGGATTAAAAAAAAAAGGTATATATAAAAAGTTTACATATTCTCCCATTAGAAATTGATTTTTTTTAGCTGCCAGTAAAAAAGTAAAACTTAGATGAAAATGCTCTCATTTATTAATTTTGATTTGTGGTTCATTAGAAATGTTAATAAGGTAGAAAACCTGCAGGTAAAGCAGCAGGATGGAGCTGCTAAAATAAAACATTAAGGTGATTTCTACCGATGGTTTGTTAGTGAAACGTTCGTGAGGAAGGTGCTCTAATGCGTCTGGGCCTGTTTCTTTAAATCATTATTTTTAAAATCACAATTCAAAATCAGTATTTCAATTGATCAAATCATTATTTTATGTTTTTATTAATATTTTCTTTTCAGTTTCTTGTTATTAGAATTACTGCTGTGAATTTATCCTTTTCTTTATCAGGAGTGTTTCTAAACTTTCCATCATAACTGTAGATATTTACCTTATTAAATAGAATCCATGTTAGGAGTGTCGGTCCAAAGAGGAGCGGTTTAGAAGGAGGAGGAGCAGAAAAGGAGGCGAGTTTCACCTCCTCCAAGAAGACAGAAACAGAAAAGTCTCAGATGTGTTGGTCAGTGATGGAGTCAGTTATTGACAAAGTTTTAAAAATGTAGAAAACGGATGCGGGCTGGTTCTGATCCGATCCAGGAGACCCGGTTCTGTTTATCTACCAACCGCCTGCAGCTCAGTGGAGCGGCGATCACATACCTGCTGCTTCTGCCTCATTTAAATGTTTAATAATTTAACCTTCAGTCTAAATAAACATTGTTTTTATGCAACGTTTCATTTGATTCGACTTTGAAATAAAGATTATTTTCTAAAGCTGCTGCAGAGCTGATCCATCAACATCAGGCAGAGCGGCTCTGACCAGCAGAGGGAGGCAGCATTTGAACCAGCAACCCTCGTCCATCAGGGAGAGGAGGGGCCGGGGGTCAAAGGTCAGGAGGAGACCTGGAGAACCACAGGGAGAACATCCTGATGGGTCAGATGGAGCAGAACCGCCATCCAAACGGCGCCGCTTCATCTTCCTCTGAACCGATTCTGTTTTCAGGAACCGGCCGATTATTGGATCAGATAACAGAGAAGATCAACGATCCCTGGAGGAGCAGCGGAAGCTGGTTCTGGTTCTGACCCAGAGAAGCTCTGGTTGGAGGGAACCTCTGCTCCATCCAGACAGCTCGAAGCAGAACCTGCAGAGGCCCAGATGGAGCAGAACCTAAAGCCTGAGGTACCATGGTTCTGCTTAAATGGACCCAACAGAACCAGATGATGGACACAGAACCCAAAACCACAGCATGAAGATCAGTAAACCGGGCCCAGCAGAACTGTTCACCTGACGGGTAGAACCAGACAGAACCGGACCGGATAAAGATGAGCATCAGAACCATCTGGAGGAGAAAAGTTCTCAGGAAGATTTAAACCCGATCAGAACCGGTTCTGATCCAGTTCAGGTTCCTCAAATCACAGACGGAGCAGAAATCAGTCGATCAGGAATTTAATAAAAACCAAAGGAAATAATTTTCTTCTTCTGTGAAAATAAGTTTTTATCTTTATGGACAGAAATGAAAATATTGGACCTCATGAAGGAGACAGTGATCAGAACCGGATCGGTCCGGAACATTCAGTCAACAATCAGTGGACCGGGAACCCCGGAGCGGACCGGGACCCCGGAGCGGACCGGGACCTGGATGTGTCCTGTGAAAGCACAGAGTGTGGGATCAGTCCGGGTCGTCGGTGGGACACAATCGGCAGGAAGTCCACATTCATCCTGGTGTCAGAAGAAGATCAGAGCGATCGAGCATCAACGGAAGCCTGGAGGGGCCAAAAACGCCAACTTCCTGCTTCACACCAGCAGGGGGAGTCATTGGCTCCTCCTGCTGCGGATCAGAACAACAGAGCTGCAGTTTCTGACACAAACAGGCTTCCGTAAAAAAAAAAACACATTTTGTTACGAATCAAAACATCAGATTCCACAAAGAAAAGCAAAAAACAAGAGAAACAGTGATGGTTACATTCCAGGTGCAGAGGCTCCGCCCACAGCCCCGCCCCCGTGGGACAATCAGTGTGTTAGGTGGAGGGGGCGGGGCCAAGAATCAACCAATCCATCGAGTGAACACATGACAGGTAGCCAGCGAGCAGAAACATCAAAAGAAAAGTCTGAACTGGACCAGGCCTGGCATCGAACCCACAACCTCTGGAACAGGAAGTGAGGGAGGCACTGAGAGTCTGAGTGATTCTCTTCAAAATAAAAGCCCCTGCTCAGGAAAACCAAACATTTTATTCAGTCAGAGGGATTTCAGACATCGATCAGATTCAGGTGATCAGGAAGCGGCTCAGGTATGATGACATCATCCACAGGTGGGATAGAAAACTAGATTCTCTCTAATTCTAGATTTTATTTTCTACAAGAAGAGTCATTTCATTATCTATGAAACTAAAATCAATGAGGTTTAATTTTCCTCTTTCTCATCAGTAACACCTTAATAAAGTAAAGTTATGATATTAATGGATCCATCTTCAGGCCTTATAATGGGAGCGGGACCCCCCCCAACCAGGCCCCCCCAGATGGAGAGGGACCCCCCCCCAGATGGAGCGGGACCTCCCAACCAGACCCCCCGGACTGAGCGGGACCCATTTTACATGACACCCCCAAAAGGAGCGGGACCCTCCCCCCAGATGGAGCAGGACCCCCTAACCCGACCCCCCACGAGATGGACCGGGACCCCCTAACAAGCCTCCCCAGATGGAGTGGTACCCCCTAACCAGACCTCCCCAGATGGAGCGGGACCCCCTTTACCCGACCCCCCCAGATTGACCTGCTCATAATCTGCTATCATTAGTTTTTCTAACTCCCGTCTGATTGGATCATTTCTATCTTTTAGGGAACAGGAAGTGAGGTCGTCTGGCTCGGTTTCCTCATCACCTGTCGGCTAATCGATGTCAGAACCCAGCGCGCTCGGCAGCATACGGTAGAGGTATGGCTATTTCCTGGGTGTGTGTGGCCTGGTTTCCATGGAGACGGTCAGTCCAGCAGCGTGCCCTGCTCCTGAGCTCGGGTAAGGCTGTCCTTGCGGTGCAGGTGGTGCACCCCCATCCTCTTGGGGCTCTTCATCGGCCGCTGAGGGCCGGGGGCGGGGTCAAACTCGAGGAGGCGGGGCGAGATGACGGGCAGCTCATGAGGAAAAACGTCTTTTTCTTCAGCTGAGCTGTCGTCCTCCTCCTCCTTCCTGTGGCTGTCGGCTGGGCCCGTTGCCACGGTGATGGTAGTGTCTACGCTTCCAGTTTCATCCTCCAGGTTCATCAGGAGCTGCTCGCCGTCCTCGGGGCCGCTCCCGGCGCCGTAGCGGCTCCTCCTGCTGGGCTGAGCCTCCGTGTCAGTGTCCGTATCCAAACTGGACCCTCGGCTGGGCGTCCAGCTCCGCGCCGACGAGCCATCCTCTCCGTCCGAATACGCGGTTCTGTGGCGTTCTGATGAGGCAGAGGCCCCGCCGGCCGCCACCTGTCTCCTCCTCTGCAACTCCTTCGCCGTCTGACTGCTGAAAGATGTGCGGTGCGTCACCGAACCCTCGCAGGACGGCGCCATCTTCTCCACAAACATTCGCTGCCAATTGGCGAGGAGGTCCTCCTCTGAGCTGGCAGAGCTCGCCGGGACGCTCGGTGCCTGAGGGGAAGAATCACGGATCAGGTTCAGATTTCCTGGTTCTAAAAGGTTCTGTTCATCGACCGCTAGCAGGTCCCAGTTTGGTCCCAGTTTGGTCCCAGTTTGGTCCAGAATCCTCCAGAGGTTCCAAGTGGTCCTGAAAGCATCTGGACCTTCCTGGGGTCTGCATGGCACCTCTGGAGGATCTGGAACCATCAGACCGTCAACCAGTCATGTGACTGGTTCTACTCTGCTCTCCGATTGGTCGGTAGCAGCTGTAGGCGGAGCTTCCTCTTACCTGCGGCGGGCTGCTGAACGGGCTGGACTGGGTGGAGAGCGGCTCACTGATGGCATCGCGCTGTGACGGCGGCGTGTGCTGGTTGACTCCGCCCCCCCCGCCTGAGGAAGAGGAGGGGGCGGGACTTCCTGGGGCCAGACGCTCCTCGTCGTTCTGAACAAGGCTCAGGGAGATGGCCTGCCGCGTGGCGTAGGTGCAGTTGGGCAGCGGCGAGTTCTTGGGGATTTTGACTTTGTCGTCGGACGAGAACTCGATAACCTTACGCCCCGGGTAGAGCGGGTGAGGTGGCGGCGGCGCCGGGTACGGGTTGAGCTTCTCAAAGGACGGGGCCCCGCCCAGCTCCTCGTCTAGGCTGCTCTGACTGCGACAGGACCCGTTGTGCTGCGCCTCCTCCAGAGCGCCGCCGTTCTCCCGGGCCTCGCCCGCCGGGTCCGTCATGTCCACGTGCACGAAGACGTCCTCGGCGACCGGTCGGCCGCAGCTGCTGGACTGAGCCGAGTTCAGGACCAGCGGCTCGGGTTTCTCCAGGACGCGGGCGATGACGGAGGTGGGCACCACGTCGGCGTGCGTCAGGCTGAGCGTGTCCGGGTCCTGGCAGCCGGGGGCGGGGCCTCGCTCCGGAAGGCTGCTCTTCATGTGTTTGTTCAGCATGTCCTGCAGCTCTGAGGGCAGCTGGACGGAGACAAAGACAGGAAGCCATCATGAAGGACCTCAGTCATCCAGGTCATCGTCATTTCAAACAAGTTAAAATCAATCCTCTGGACTTTGTTTCCAAGTTTGAAGACGTTTCTCTTCCATCCAGGAAGATTTTTCAAAGTCCAAACAAAGTCCAGTGGATTGATTTGAACTTTTTTGGAACAAAGACAGGAAGGACAGCAGAGTGGGCGGCGGAGACGTTTACAGCCGTCACTTTTCCACCATGTTGGAGCATCTGTGTACCCAGGGAACCCCTTAGATGCTCAGAGATTCAGAAAGCATTGAGGGGTGAGGATGAACTGGACGACACACCGAGGGTTAACCATCCTTAGAAGGTTCGGAACCTTTAGACCCGTTTCTCTAGAACCTTTTCTGGTTCTGTTCCTCACATTAAATGGGCCCCTCTCTGAACGTCTCCACTGATGGAGCCAGCCTTTAAATAGCTGCTGTTCTAATTTTTACCCCACTGGTGCAGCATAAAGTCTCCATCTGATGCTTCATGGCTGGAAATGTCAGAACCGGACCGGTACCGCTGCTGTGGGGATGAGACCCGAGCAGAACCACCCCCCACAGCGTGGGACCTCCAGTCTGTGCTCAGCAGTGGAACGAGGACGGTCAGCATGAGTCTATTTACTCTTATTAAAGGTCATCATCATCATCATCATCATCATCAATAATCAGTAAAAGGATGAAGAGGGACCCTTCAGATGGAAACTGGTCCATTAGTGATGGTTCTGTTGGGGATGAACTGGTTCTGGTTCTGGTACTTACGTCAGCAAACTTGTGGTTCCTGAAATGGGATTTGTTGCATTTGAGCAGCTGAACGGCCAAGTTGCAGTCCTGCCTGTAGCGCTCCTGCACACAGACAAAAGGTTAGCATTAGCTGCATGGTTGTTAGCAGTTCTGGAGGATTCTTTAAAACCTCAGCTGGTTCATTTTATAACATTTTAGGCTTTGATCGTGTTTTTCTGTCTCTGTGTTCCAGGCAGGATGTTATCCTTGCTGAATAATTACATCTGGGATCAAGTTCAGATGCTAATTGGTGAAACAGGATCTATGTGCTCAAATGCCACTGCATTAGCCAACCCGCCCAGCGGCTCTGCTTTAGCCAAACGACCCGCCCAGCGGCTCTGCTTTAGCCAAACGACCCGCCCAGCGGCTCTGCTTTAGCCA